GTAAAACTTTCAAAAACATATGGAAATTAAATTTAAGCATACATGGCAATGGAATTTCAACAAAGTTAATTAAGGAAGTTGATTTATTTGACAAATAACGTGCTTTGCGTCAAACGAGCTAATCCTGTGATTAGACTCTCCATCGGATTTGTTAAATGAGTATGTTGGCTCACTTACTCGCATAATTATGCCCTATTTCCACACCAAGTTGCGGCTATACAAAATTGACTGATGATTCAACAATATCTACCTTTTCAAGCTTTGCTTGCCTTAGCTTGTAACTCCCAAAAATATATATGTGCCCAGTTCGTAGATGATGAAGTCAAAAAATAAGGAGTAAACACGTTCATTACTTTAATTGAATAGTCTGAGTTCAATTATATTATGTGATGTTACTGCGACCCAGAAATATACTATACATCTTTTGCTATGTGTATATAAAGCGAGACTGGTATATGCAGAATTTAAGTAGCAAGTATATTTGAAGCCCTGTTTGGAATTAGGTTGAAGATGATGACAGAAGAAATTATGAGAAATACAAAGGATGAATGAAGAGAAAATGGTGATGTGGGCCACGAACGAACGAAAAGTGGTGGGAGAGAGACGAATTCAGAAAACACGCATCTTAACTTTCTTGCCGGAAATGATTATGTTTTTGCTTGCTTTAATGTTTGGATCGACTAGCTCATGAAAGCCATGGAAAGTTGTCAACTTGACATATAATTTTTATACCCTAAGGTGACAGGAAGAACCATGGACCGTGGCGCTGCTATATAAAAAAGCATGCACACGCATAACACATGTGTGTGCATATATAATGCATGTCTTCTGATTTAGTCCCCAAATATACGTAATCTATGATAATAGCGTTATTATTAACCATTGATTAGGGTTTTCGAATCATATTTATATGACCGTGTCTGTCTTAGTTTCTGTCTGGATGCTTGGAGAGACGAAAAGGATGAGAAATTTGATTGAGTGGCATTTGATTTGGATTGCGGCTGTGAGCTGACAGAAACGTAAGGAAAGAGGAAATTTTATCTGTTTGCTCAGTGCAGACGCGGGCAAGAGAACTTCACGAAAGCTTTTTGGACAATGCATGAGAACAGGCCAATTTGAGAATAAGTCAATTTAAGGCGGTGGATTATGTAAATCTGACAAGATCAACTTGAGATCGACGCCGTTCGTCTTCTGCTTTTGACGGACAACACACAGCCATCTTCCGTTCGATGCCCTGTGTCCATCAAATTAAGTACGTGAAAAATGTGGTCATCAACGCAACTGGTCTTACATAAAAACGCTAAGCTCGACAAGTTGTTCATTTAGATCCTGTATAATCTGTGCTTCCTAAATTTATACTTTTTTATTTAAAGCATTCATGTTAATTTTACATGTCAACTATCACCTTCGTTACTTAATATAAAAACTGGTTAACTGATTTAAATATATTAAGAAAATTAGATAAATTAGTTGTTTGTAATAAATATGTGTTGTCTTTCCTAAAATATTATTGTTAATCATGTGTATTAGTTAGAACTACCATATGATGAAACATTTAACATATGAAGCTACTGCAAGAACTGTCTTTAAAAAAAAGATAAATATGAGAGATGGATTCAGTATTATATTTGTGATTAAATTGAAAGTTAAACTAGTTTTTATATTAAGAATCGAAGGTAGTATCAATGATTGAGAAATTTATCAAACAAGAGACAGCTCTAATGCACATGATTAAATAAGGTGGTTTAAAAAATCAAAGTATATTTATTAAAAATAACTAATTAACTAATTTTTATAATATCCATAACTTAACTATTTATCTCTTATATTAATAACAGAAATAGTACTACCTTCGGTCTTGATTATAAGACATTATTTGTAAACTATAAATGAGATCTTATAATTAGGACAGAAGGTAATATATGGTAAGGCTCCTCAAAATCTTATTTATACATTGCTATAAATTAAGTGGTCAGATCGTCCATGATGATCGCCAACCTGTCTCTAAGATTTCCACCTTTGATTTCTTTTGGGTTACCCTCTGGAATCGCATTATCATCTTTTCCATTCATTATCATGTCTCAGTACAGTAACTTAAATTGCAATTAGTTGTTATGAGTCTAATTAAGGAGCTGGGCCTGGAGACTGAAATAATGTCATGATTTGAATGCTGGAGTTTAAATATTTGGGTCAACTCTTAAATAGCACCAGTACATTGAACCCATACCCCATGTACTCTCACCCGTTTAAAATGCAGGACACTCGCAATCATGTCATGAATATTAAGAAATAATCCAATTTTTATTTTTTTTAAAAAAATCTCGTAAGCATTGGCATGTCGTTCCCCTTTCATCCCGAACCGTAACTAACATCTAGGATTTTATTTAATGGAATGAATTAAAAATAGATTATTTACATCATTAATCTAAAGCTGACCAATTTATACAGCTAATCTAAAGATGGATTATTTTTGTAAGTAATTTTGTTTAGCATCAAGAATGAGAATGTCAATGATGCATAAAGCGGACCAATAATATTGCGCAAGAATGATGCGCCTTTAAGACGATTCCGAGCGAGATTTGGTCATGATTGGAAGACAAACTAACAGAAACGTGAATGGAATAATATTTAATTAAGCGATAATAACATCATTAATATCCTCGCTGTTTGAAAGTCATAACGTGAATAAGTTTTTTTTAAATGAGAGATAATTGAAAACTGAATTCTTACGTTGATTGTTTAACACCTGGTGCAAATAATTTATAATTCCAATTCAAATCTTCGACCGAAAAATATTGAATTAATAAAGCCCCCAGTTATTTCTAGTCCGGGTAGGACCCACTAAAATGAACTGAACGATTTATACCTATAAGAAATAAAAGAAAAACACTTTTATTCCAGTGACGCGTCTCGATTTTTTTTCCTCCCAGTTGCCAGAGGCAATTTTATTTAAGATATTGTCAGATACTAAATATGAGTATCTTTTTTAACTGAAATTCGAATCTTAATTTAATATGTGATGAGGAACAAACTTATTCTATTAGACTCAATTTCTATTGGGAACATGTCTGAATCCTGACAGTACTTCGAGGGTGAAAAAATAAACAAATAGTGCTGTTGGGTCCATGCTTGGGACGCTTGGGTCTACGGTCCCCGTTTCCTATGGCGGGACTTCTATTGGGCCCATCTGAACCGTTGGGATTTGAATTCGGCCACAAATTCTTTTTCTCTTGAACAAAAAAAGCATTTTCCTAATAAAAATTAGGTCTAACAGAAAAGACTAATATTTTACAATATGATGAATTAAGGTTCGAATCCCTGCTAGAAGAGGTGTCCACATTTAGTGTTGTACAGTGTCTCGAATAAAATTACTTCCAATAAAAAGATACCTATGCATCTGAGAAATGGTTTATTTCTGATTCACGCTGACACACCCATCCTTCTTTTTTTCCTTCTTTGCCGACCACTCAACCGCCCATCCTTCTTATCCCATAAGAAAGGCCACATACATACACACCATTATGCTCTTGACCTGCTAGGCTGCTACCAAATAATGAGTAGGTAGCGTTGTCATTAACTCATGTTTTATTTTTTGCCTCCATAACTTCATTTGCATGATTAGAAAAAGGCGAAAAAAGCCTTAAAAAATAAATGTTTTTTCTTAATTTAAATAAAGTACATCTACAATAAAATTTGCATGAAAATTAAAATTTAAGACACCTCAATTGCCATAACTTACAAACCTTTAGTGACGTTAGTTACGGGATCTGGTTTGTTGTTCATTGAGGCTTAGAGTTCCATATGATGAAATCTAGACCGTTTGAATTAAATACCAACGATGAACCTTTAAAATTTTGAATTATAAATACTAACTCCGGTCTTTAATATAAGAGTTAGTTAACTAATTTAAGTAGACTAAAAAAATTAATTAAATCAGTTCTTTGTAATAAATATGTGTTATATTTCTCAAAATATCCTCGATAATTAAGTATATTAGCTAGAACTATTATTATTACAATAACCATTTTTAAAAATAATAATAAATATGAGAAATAAAATATATTAGAGTCTTATATTTAGTATCAAAATAAAATTCAAACAAGTATTTTAAATGCCGGTGAAAAATATTTTCCCCCCTAAACCAACAAAATGACTCCTGGTGAAATCTTCTTCTCACACGTGGGCCCTGAAGCCCATATCTCCATCTCGTCTCAACGAAATGAAGGATCTCGGAGCCCATATCTCCATCTCTTCCCTGACACGTTGGATCCAGTGTCGCCAATGTCTTCAGCCACTTCGACAACAACGGGCATGGCCGGAATCCATCTCCGAGACGAATGCCACCGGCAAGCTGCTGATCTTATCACCCTCTGGAACTGGAATCACATTCACAAATACTTGTTGCGGCCATGATCCCTCTGAAGAGATTGGCCTTCTTTGTGTTTGTATTAATTGGCGTTGGAGACGAAGCTCTAAGATATATGTTTGAATTTGGAGCACATAAATCAACGCCTAGAAGAATATTTTTGCATTCACACCATAGTCCAAGAGGGACGCGTGTTTTCTTCTCGTTTTGCTCTGTTTATTTATTCATTCCTGAACGCGAATTGAGAAAATTAGTTGGTGCATTTTCTTGGATTCTTATTGATTTGGTCAACTTGGGAGCAAGCTTACGTATAGTATAAGCGTTTGCCGTAGCAACTGGAGAGTCTACACTACAACAAAATTTAAGACCCAGGCCTACTTTTGTTGACTTTTATTTTTGTCCTAATTATAGGACTCTAATATATTTTGTCTCGTATTTATGTATTTTTTTTTCTAAGGTAGTCATTCTAATAACAGTAATTCTAGCAAATAAATTTGATTAGCAAGGATATTTTAGAAAAGATAACACTTATTTATTACAAATAACTAACTTAACTTATTTTCTTAATTTTCTCAAATTAGTCAACTAGCTCTTATAATTAGGATCGGAGGTAGTGTGTATATATATATATACATATAAAGGAAAAAAACTTTGTATAAATGAAGAGAGTTCAGCAGTAACAAGTTCAGGCAGGAGTTTATTTTTGTGTTTGCTAAATATAGTGAATAGACATATTTGTGATCCATAATCATGAAGAGAATTCAGGAAGTGGTTTGCCTTCCACAAATGCTTTGAATAGCACAAGTGATCTCTCTGGTTGTGAAAACGGAGCTTCATGAGCCGCCCCTCTTATTGTGGCGTATGACAAAATGTCCCCATACACTTGTGTCCACCCCGCAACCTTATAAAACATACAAAAACCAACAATTAATTATATCGGTGTCGGGACATAATTTAATTATTAAAAAAAAAGACAAAAGACTCGCCATATTCTTGGTGTAATTAAAATATCAACCTGTTTGCCTTCAAACCAAGCTCTGTAGGGCATTGTCGTATTGAATCTAATTTCCCTGGCCAGTGCATTCACCAGAGCTCGCGACCCAATTAGTGGAATCACCGAATCTTGATCCCCACTGTAAATACATGAACTGTTCTTAGAAATCAAATCTTGATTTTGACGAATCATAGTACATTTCAAGCAGAAATAGCAATAAAACTGAATTACCTATAGACAAGAACTCGAAGGCCTGACTCAACAAGTTTCCCAAGAATAGGAATTGTTGGTATCTCTAAATTCTGCATATCATATTTCACAACACTGCAACAGTATGGAACTAGTTGAGTATGGGAACTGATCTCTAGATCACTCGATAATTGGGTGGTTTGCTATATTCTGAACATAACTTACTCGCTACAAACAGACCATGTGGAGAGTCCTACGAGTTTAGCATGAAGAGCTTGCTGCACGTCTTTCCTGTTCAGGTAATTATGTGTCTTGTCTTCTTCACAAACATCTATTTTTTGCGTCTCTTGCTGTGCACAAATAACACAACTCAGTAACCTCACGAAACGGGAAACAAGTATTTCAAGGAGTACGAGAAAAGGGGGGAAAAAGAGATGAAGCTTACCAATTGGCTTAACACTAAAGATTGTTGATCTATGGTAGACAAGCAGACATCGGCAGTGACGTCGTAGGTATCGACGAATTTACCAATTTCGCTTGACAATAGTTTGCCAACTCCTGCACAAGCTGGAGTGAGACTTCCGCTTTGAGCTTCCCTCCTGATTTGGGAGTAGTTACATGTCGTCGTCAAGCTCTCGTAAGCCAGATCTGATATTAGTCCATGCGACCAAAAATATTCTCCTCTTGAGTTGAAATCAGTGTTAAACTCTAACAGAGGGTTCCCTATCTGCATAAAAATCAACATATTAACTGCTAATTGTTGCCACCTTCAAATTCATATGATTATATCCTTTAATATATTCCCTAGCTAATTGACTAAATAACCTCTTCTTTATCAATCAATTTCACTGAATATAATTTTAAAATTTAAAAGCATTAAGTAATTTTAATTAAATTCATTAATTCATATAAAATTTGCTCATAGGACTTTAAAAAGATTTAGGGGTGTTATTTTTCCCCCATATACTCACTGCGATCCCTTTGAGATTGAACGGAGTCTTAGTTTGAACAATCAGCTGCGCAAGTTGAGGAACATAATGGCCTGAAAATAAATAATGTGTTAGGTTTTATAGTTTTAGGGACTGTGTCTGTGTTTTCATTTATATCAAAAGTATTGCTTTGATAACTACCTCCATAGCTTTCTCCGGTGATAAAGAAATCGTTATTCTTGTACTGAGGAAACTTATTGAACCAACGCTGAAGGAAAACAAGACTATCCTTTGCTGTGGAAGAAAATAGGCCACCGTTTCATGAATCATGTCAGTAAGAATAGAGATAGGTTGCTCATACTTTCAAAAAGTAAGGTTATTTTTAAAATGATGACTATAAGGTTATACTAAATATTTTATATATTTTTTTTGGAGGGTAAATGGCTAAATGCTTCATATATTAATGAAAAATGATTTTTTCCGGCAAAAAAATAATGGAAAATGATTTTTCTTTAAAGCAATGAAATGATTCTGAGTTGAGCCATAGTGGGCCTCAAAGCCCATCTTCTCTCGTCATGATTAAGGAACTCGAAGTCCACATCTGCGTCTTCCCTAGCTCCCTGTTCCGCCGCATGATATGGAAGAGATTGCCAGAATACCAACGCAACAGACGCGAAGTCGGCGATATCGGCAACTTTATGATCAGAATAAGAATGGCCGCATCTCCACCATCGATCTCAACTGGTTTGAACCGTTGGTTATTTATTTGCTCTTTGACTCCCCCCCACCCGGCGCCCCCTGATTATGCTCCGGTGACAGAGGCGATGATTCTTTCCATCTTCGGACGGACTCACCTCTCCACAAGATAAACACATTGGTGGTAATGGATTGTGTCTTCCATAAGGGGTTCTATAAACTAGACAACAAGATTGAGGTAATGCTTTTTCTTGTTTCCCTTCCAAAGTCCGGTTCCAGTGACTAAACGGGTTCTTAGATATATAGCAAACTCAGGCCTCTTGAATTCTACACATTGATTAGTAACCCTGATTTTTAGTCCAACTTAGAATTTAGCATGTTCAGACCCAAAAAAACAGAGAGAAGATTCTATTCTAGCAGGCACAAAATTAGTTGAGCGAAAGAACCTGTAATTTCATCATCGATAAAGCGATAGAAGGATTTGTTGGCAGAGTAAGAGAAACCAACTCCAGCTGGTGATTCCAGGTATAGCATATTTGCCTCTGTAAAGAGGAGAAGATCAATCAGCAAATCGGATTCAAATTACATTTTATAATTTATATTGGTTGCTGGTGTGGTGTCTTGGACTAACCTTTGTTCCAGCTGTAATCATTCTTTACTAGACCATTTTCGGTCGGTTTGAAAGGACCATGCTCAACGAAAGCTCCAGCTCCAAGAGATGAACAGCCAGGCCCTTCAAAAACCAAAGAACAAGAAACCCAGAAATCATCTTAATTGCATCTTTCGTTTAGGAGACCGAAAAGATCATGTGTATTTCCATATTGGTTTATCCGTAAAATCATACCTCCATTCAACCAGAGAACCAGGGGCTTGGAAGCAGGGTCTACTTCTGCTTCTGCAAAGTAGTAAAACAGAGCTCTCTGCTGCTTGTCGTCGACGGTAATGTAACCGGCATATTGCTGGAACTTCACCGGCGGCTGCCCCGGCAAACTGCTGATCTTATCATCTTCTGAAACTGAAATTGCAGTCACAAATATTTGTGCAACAACAAATAATATTGTTGCAACCATAGAAAATGGTCGCGGCGACATGGTAAGCTCCGAAGATATGGTTTTGATTTTGGCCTTCTCTGTTTCTGTGTGAACGGGTGACGGAGATGAAGCTTTAAGAGAAGGAAGGTAACTGTGCCTGTAAGATGTGTTTGAATTTGGAACATTTAAATTAACGCCTAGAAGAATATTTTTTCCAAGAGGGACGCGTGATTGACTTGTCTTCTTGCGTTATCGTTATTTTGTCCATTTCTTTGGGTTGTGTGAGAAAACTATTTTCATCAATATTTTCCCCTTCTTTTTGTCTGATCCTTTTAGGGTCTGCTTGGGAGATTCAGAGTCTTTATGTTCACAATTGCATTGATGCTTGCTTTTGATTTACTTAGGGAGTGGGTTTAAGCACTGATTACAGTACAATAGCAATCATATGCCCTGAGAATAGACGCAAGCATTATGCATACAAATTGGCCCTTTTATATTCTTTTAAATTTGGATTGGGATGTGGATTTGGATGGGGTAGCTATCGTGCAAGTTCCATTAAATCTAATTTTCATTCATCTTCCAAGAAACTTCTGCGGGAAAAAGAGAGAGAGAGAGACAGGTATTGGGAAGCGGGTCTTGTTTGGGTTCAACGATAATTGCAGATTAAATTATATGGGGAAAAACAAAAATTAAGAAATAGAACGTGTTTTCTACTATGCTAGAAGGCGGGATCTCCTTTTGAAAGATGTCATTAGATAGATTGTGCGATCAACACATGTCAACTACCTAACATTAATGTTGTGAAGTTTATTCGCATTGTTATTTAATGGGAAAGCGATCGTGAAATACAAGAATGAATAATCAAAAATCACATAATAATTAAATTGTGGAGATTACGCAGCAAGTGCATTTGAGGCGAGTGTCACGGGCGACAAGAAAAGGACGGCGAATGTAAAGACAAATTAGAGGCCAGAGAGGCGGAGATTGTGAGATTATTGCGCCAAGAAGAGTGCCAGATTGTATAAATTGATTTTTGTCGTGGCAGCGCAGGGACCAAATTAAAGGTCCATGGAGGAAGTCTATGTGAAGGCTCATGGGACCTTGCCAAGCCGGTGAAGCCACAACTGTGAACCCTTTAAAATAATTGATAATCATTGGACGATGGTGGTGCAGTATTATAATCAGAATAAATAAACAAAATAATTAACGGGGTTGATTAGATTAGGGAGAGTGGTTTGGCTGACGCCAAGAGATGCCAGAAACAACACAAAGGACCTCTCTCGGGTTTTACGTGTTCAAATACTTTCCTTTCTCTTGCAAATCACACTCATCCGTCTTCACTGAATAGATTTTAAAATCTGGTACATGTTTCGCCTTAACTAGCCGTTGAGTGAGAATTCCAGCTCGTGATATACTGTAAGATATTTTTGTCCAATAAAACCAGAACCATTGACTACGTCACGGCAACGTCAGATTCTGATTATGAGTTTTTGGGGCACTCTCTTAATTTGCGCCATTTTCGGAAGATGTGGACAGCCATATTGCAGGTCCCCACCCAAAAAAAAAAAAACATGATCATTCACCGTCCCAATTATCTGACTATTACTGTCTCCACTTTCACGATGCATAAACCAAAAGAAGAGGGAGGGCGATGGCATTATTGCAGATAAGATCCAAATAATCCAAATATCCCATATTAGCAGATCCAAAAGAAGACACACACTGCATGATGGTCGGTCCACGGATACCTTGTACATCAAAATGCACAAAATGCGAATATTAATGGGGCGAAAGAAGTAAAATGAGAAGGGAGGAAAAAAGATATAGATATATATATATAGGGAAAAGAAAAGGTGTTTTGCAAAGCATGAGGGCATGAAGCAAGGCGCGATCCTAACCAGAAAGGAACCAAAACTGGAAAAGCAATTAGAGAGATGCATTAAGAAATTAAAGAGTGAAACCCGATGAATCACATAATATGTAATGTGTTTGGGACAGTTTGTCGGTTTCACATTCTATTGTTGGACGCAGTGCTGGTCTGCTACATAAGGATGATCATATATTACGGTTACAGTACCACATCACAACCCTTTCACAGTCTGTGATTTTTTCGAGCAAACTTACTTTTAGTCTCCCAGATCAGATCCGATCATGAAAACAACAAACAAGAAGCAAGAGCAGTCCGTACATTACTCTTTCTGGTATCTGAAACACTCTTCCATTTGTTTCATTCGGCACTTCTGGGGTGGCTCTGCAACGATGCGCTTCACCATCTGGCTGTCCAGTTGCTGCGTGAGAATGTGGATTCTGATTTAGAGTATGAGCCATCTCTTGAGGATTGGTTTTCTGAAACAGACATTAATTTGCCTGATACGTGTGGATGCTGTTTGTTGGGGATAGCTCCTGCCTTCCCCCATTATTCATCACCGAGTTTAAATAAAACTAACAAAGTGCAAGTCCTTTTGACTTTAGGAAACCATTAGATGAAAAATAAGCTTAACTGTCCATCATATTTTGATTATATGAATATTTCTTTTAAATTACAGGGTCAAATTTTTACCAAACAATTGGATAGGGCCGCAAGACCAAACTTCTATGCGGTGTGATTTTGTTGTACTTTTTTTTCAAAAATGTTATGGTGACATTTTATAAAGGGACTCAAATGGTGGCTAGGTCCTGGGTTTTAAGCAAAAGCCTGGCCTTTACTTCGTGCACGCACCGAAGTTGAGCTCTTAGTCATTTACCCGGTTCTTAAAAATTCTGCAGAGAACGCTTATCATTTAAGAAATTTCGGCATATATCCTGATTTCCTTTGAAGCAATGAATCCCATAAACAGAGATGGTGTGCGACATGCGATCGCCGTTATTACGTCTCTGAGAAGTGGAACTCCTAACGCATGTAATCTAACAGAGGCATTGAAATTTGCAGATCTTTTAGCAAAAAATGCCTATGATAATAATGCAGATTCTACATTTATTTTAGAAGCCATTGTGTTCCTCCTCACTAGATAGACTTTGATGAGTGATGACAAATTGAAAACAGTGCATGGCAATTAGTCAAATTAAAGCAAAATATATTAAAAAAAACAATTTTCGAAATTATATGTTAATAATCCCAAAAGAACAGCTTAACAATCGTTAGTTAGTTATACAAGGCTCTGTACTCTTCTTTCTTTCTTTTTTGACAGAAACAATTCAAAACCGCAGGAGAGATACAATCTATTAAAACAGAAATAATAGACAGGGCATAAGCACATACGCGAGAGAGAGAGACAGAGAGACAGAAGCAAGCCCCATATACAACTGAGGCGTCCCTAACATCATCTGGGCCTGTCGCTTGGGCTCTATATTCTTTTTGCACTCTGAGACCAGGAGGTAGCCTCAGGCAACACCTTGACGAAACACTGATGAATCACGGCCTAAATTGGTCGGACCTATTGTGCTGGATGTGGATGATCATATATTACATGGACGGTTGACGGGTGGCGCATAAGCCTTTCATGGTGTTTGTAATTTTGCGAGCAAACTTTGAGTCTCTCAAAAATGGAAGTATGAAAGGTAGGGAGATGGGAAGAACAAAGGAGAAGGCATTAAAAGCGTAGCTCAGAGATCTGCTGGGTGCGACGGCGGCCATGGAGGTGCAGTAAGTGAGTATCATTCCGAAGGTGGCGAAGGTGAGCTCCAATCGGAGAGGAAAGCCACGAGTGAGGAAGTCGATGATGTAAAGAGAGAAATAAAAGCCCAGTGTGTTCCCAAACATGAAGCATACAAAAGTAACATAACTATAGGACTCAGCCCCGCCTGATAAGTGGCCGTCGCCATGAGAACCGCCACAGTGAGTAGTGCAGTCCGGACATGGCCGGGTTTATCTCTCCCTTCATCGTATCTGAGATATTTTTCCATTTGTTTCGTTCGGCCCTGCTGGTGGGGTTGAACCGCGACCGCTTCATCAGTGGCTGCGTCGTCAAAGGGTGGCGAAGGATCTCCATTCTGATTCAGGGTAAGAGCGATCTCTGAGGAATTGTTGTGTGGACTAGACATTATCGCTTATGCTGTTGTCCAACGACGTTTACTGCCTCAGCTCCTACTACCATATACCAGACCAACTACCTATTCAACGGCTAACCTTGCACCGGGAAAAATTAGTTGGTCACACTTTATTAGTTTGACTTTATTTTTGTTTTTTGATACACTAGTTTAACTTTATTTTTAATTAAATAGATTATTGTATTTTTTTCCCCTTTTCAGTCAATAGTGATAGGCTGTATGTTCATAATATGATAATGTGAATAATACATAAATTGTCATAAAAATAAAATACAAGAAAAGATTTAAAAAAATAAAACGATGGAATAAATTTATTTATCATCAACATAAAAATAAAAACTTATTATACTTATATATAACTGTTGCAAACATCTATATATAGTTTGAAACATGGTTAATTTTAATTTTATTTAGATTTATCTGACAAAATAATCTATTTGCATTCTCAATAAGAGCTACACATGCATTATCTGCTAACTTGTTTTGTCTTATAAATTAACAAATTATAAGTAATACACACTTATAATCGGAGAAACTATAAAAATTCAATCAAAAGGAAAAAAACCGGAAAAACCTAATTATAAATGAAGTAAAATTATAGGCGCTTGTATCTTAATTTTTTTTTCATAGAATGAAATCAATAAACGGAAGTCCTTTGACTCTGGGAAACAGTTAGATATGCAAGATAAGCTTAATTACTCTGACCTCCAGACGCGGTACTAGAGTTTAATCAGACCACTAAATGGAGGTTTAACTTGTTGACTTTGGGAAACAATTGGATAGTTAGATAAAAGACAAGCCCGCGGTTTTCATCATATTTTTATTTAAATATGTTTCTTTGAAACGGAAATCAAAGTTTTATGAATTGATTCCGATGATGAGCATGTCAAATACGAAGTCAGATTAAAATCTATGCATCTGGAAGTGCCCATGTGTGCTGATATTCGGAGCATGATCAACCTATGCGGTGTGATTTTTGCAGTTCTTAAGTTGGCGTGATAGAGAATTTTGCAAGTTTATTAGGACGAAACTTCAAATATAAAACAACAAATAATTCGATTTTTAACGTAAAAGATTGACTCATTCGCTTTCTAATCACCACAGATCAATCATTTTAATTTCACAATTTCCTTTGCAACCTCTATGGTTTAAAACAGAATGCATATGTGCCCTGTCCTTGTTGCAAGAAATCGGATCGATATGTGTATTTTTTAACATACTCATTAATCATTACCATTACATTCAACGTGTCACGATTTCATACGTAACCTTGTGACTTACAATGAAACTATTTATCATGTTAATTCTCTTTTCAAAAATGGCTTGATAAGAATTTCGCATATTGCTATTTTACCTCCTTTAACGCAAATCTCCCGGGGGGGGGGGGACGGCTTTTTAAAAATTGACATTTTCAAGTTGACCATGGCCCAGTTTTTGCACATTTAGCTCATGACATTGATGGCCCATTTGAAAAAACTTATGAGTAATTTTTCAACCATGATTTACAGAATACAAGATAAGCGTACGTATTATTTTATCTTTGTCGGATAGATTATAGATGAATGATTATTATATTTTAATTTTACATGTTAAATATTTAATACAAATGGAAAAAAAATCTAATGCCATACTCGCAGATTAAATTTATCTTCAGTGCTTAACAAAATATTAGGCGTAATTATTGGAGCGCTTTAAAATTTTAAATGGGCTTATATAAATGATTAGCACATCATCTGAAATAATTTTATTCGTTTCTGTTGGAATCATCTACAACACACGCTTCCCCGAGAAAACCAGCACCAACGCCTTTTGTGTGTGTGTGTGTGTTTTTTTTTTTGGTTGCAATGCAACATCAGATTCTGATTGTCATTTCTTAATTCAGTGGCGTCCCAAACACACGCTGTCTTTTACGTCCACTCTCTCAGGGTCCTTTTTTACCAACTGTTTTGGACGGTCCTGAATGGGGTGAGATCACATGCGTTGAAACTAATTGGGCTAGCCCATTCTCACTCAGTGGCTCAATTTCTGCCGGCTACTTCAACATTTCGGACTTCGCCTCTTGGTCTATGGTCGCTGAAGCATCTTTTGTAATTCATCCATCAGATTCCCACTTCCCACATTTCTATGTCGACCCTCCCCCAGATTCCTCTCTGAAACACTATCAGCCGGCAACAACAGGGACTGCGGCGATCTGTTTTGGCCCTTTAAACATTCTCCCTTAACTAAATTTATAAATATTTGGCTCACCATTATCATCGTCCTTGGCTTTTCTCCTTCTCACGCCGGTGGTTGGCCGGACCAGATATCCACACAATGATTATTGAGTAATCCAAACAGCCCCTAAATTATAGTTTTAAAAGTGTTTTTATAATATGCAAAATAAATATGTGGATGAGTTTGCATCGATTGGTGAAAAAGTTTTTTTTTAAAATGATTATTAAGCAATCCAAACACCCCTTAATAGACCAACTACTCAAGATTTGGGTCTCTTTGATTAGCACTTCTGTTAACAACTCATCAATCTGATTAGATGACTTTTCAGGAGTAATAAAACAGGCTGTAGATTTATAGATCTTAATTTTATGAAATTGGTGAATAATTTGATTGTGGTCAAATAAAAAATGTTAGGTTAGAAGTATGGACCCAGAAGAAGCACGAACTGCTCGGGAATCGTTAGACCTGGCATTCCATATGTCAAACATTCTTGACACGGGCCTGGACCGTCACACTCTTTCTGTTTTAATTGCACTGTGTGACCTGGGTGTCAATCCGGAGGCACTTGCTGTTGTCGTCAGGGAACTGAGAAGAGACAAGGCTTCTCCAACTCAGCCATCATCCTCCCTGCCCGCACAACCATCACATCTGCCCTAAATGAGCTTTAATATTCGCTTTTCTATTTTGCCTACGCATTGGGTTTCCTGTGCTTCAGGATCCATGCGCGAACATGATTATTAGTTTATCTTTTGGGGCAGACAAATGCTAAAATTCATAGATATCCATTAAAAGAAAAGTATTTAAGAAGTGATAGGAACTATTGTTTTTATTTGATTGATGATTGATACATGGAATACTACGTAAATAAGCTGTGCTTCCATATCAGCAGAGCACATCAGTGTTGGGGGATAGGAAGTAGTTTTCCTTGAAGGAAGGCATCAAACAGCATAAATGCCCTCTTTGGTTGAGTGGCCGGGGCTACATGGGAAGCCCCCCTTATCAATGCATAACTTAACCATTTCCCATACTCTTCTGTCCACCCTCCAACCTGCAATTTGTTTCACACGTCAGCATTGTCAAGGTGTTGGCTTCAATTGCTTTTAAAACTTACAAGAGAAACAAAATTTAAATTAGCTCACCTGCAGCTTTTCACCCACAAACCAGGGTGTGTACTCTGTCGTTACTTTGAGTTTCAATTCTTTAGCTAATTCCCTCACCAAACGTCGAGTTCCTATGAATGGAATTTTTGTATCCTGGTCTCCACTATCACGTCACATGCCATTCTAATTCATTATTATGTTGATATTCATATGTGCAACTTGCGAGATCTAATTAGTACCTGTAAACCACCACCCTTATGCCTGACTTCACGAGCCAGCCTACTACCTTAATCGTCGAGATTTCCCAGCTTGCAACTGAATAATTTGTATAGATGGGTCTACAGAACATAATGCCATCTAATTTATGCACAAAGAATATATAAAAGTATCAATTGTTACGTTCAAGTAGTGATCGGCAATTTACTTGTTACAATAGGCCCATCTGTTTGCTCCAACAAGCTGCGCATGCAAAGCCATCTGTACGTCCTTCCTATTTAAATAGTTGGATAAGAACGTCAGTTTGAGTTCACAGACGCCATCATCTCCCTACAAAAAAGACATTGAATTGATTGCTTTTCAATACACTCAAGCACCCATATATTTATGTCATTCGGATGTTGACTGATGACTTCACACCTGGCGATTGTTTGTATATGGCGGCAAAAGCTGAGACATTATCGGGGTTGGTGGGTGAGCGAGGATAGCTGTCGTGGATAAATTTAAAGATTCGCATGTTTGGCCCAGAATATTATCTGGGTCTACTGAATGAGCAAACGCAGTTTCCACAATGCCATAGAGTTTCTTGCAAGTGTCAGAGATCTTACCCTGGATCATTTGTCTTACATACTCAGAACCCTTACATGCTCTGTTGATAACGTTGTAAGTCAAATCCGATATTAACCCATGGGACCAATAGTAATCAACCTTCGAATCGAAGTCATTCTCAAACTCTAGCAAGGGATTTCCTATCTGCAATCCGACAAAAATTTTAGGGGGGCTATTGACTAAATATGTCTTGATCGCCCGTTTTCATACACGAAAAACAAAAACAAAGTCAACTTGTCGTAATGCTTCTCACCGCTATACCCTTGAGGTTGGGGATGACCTTGGTTTGACTAATAAGCTGTGCAACCTGTGGCACGTAGTGCCCTGACAGTGGCACAAACCCGACACTATGAGATTGAGGTCCAAGAAAATTTAAGTGTCCTAGAGGCCATAATTTATAGTAGGCTATATGTATATGTGAATGATTCCACGTGTTCCATAGGCATACCTCCATAACTCTCGCCTGTTATGAACAATTCTCTGTTCTTGTATTCTGGAAACTCGGCAAACCAACGCTGCAGAAATGCCAAGTTGTCTCGTGCTAACAAGGAAAACAATCAAAAGAGTAAGTTAGAGTCAGTTCCTCTTTCACGCAAATGATTAGTCAGAAGGATGATTGATATCGTTCTATAGGAGATGCCTTTAAAACTTGATATGGCGAGAAAATAAACCTATGATCTCATCGTTGTAGGAAGCATAGATGGACGTGTTGACGGAATAAGAGAATCCAACACCTGCCGGTGATTCCAAGTATAACATGTTCGCCACTGCAGTAAACACAATGTGAACTCTTGGATTTGGATTGTGTGTTAACGATGCAATAAACAAATTATTGTTCTTTAAAGATGCTACTTATGTTGCACTTATTATTCTTATTTTAGCTCTAGAGAATCATACCTTTGCTCCAACTATATTTATTCTTCACGATACCCTTTGCACTGACTACAAATGGCCCGTGTTCAAGGAAGGATCCGATGAGAGAAGAACAGCCTGGACCTAAAAGTGAAAAGAAACAAATTATATTATTTTCTTAGAAAAATAAGTGTTGCTCGAGATTATCCAGAAGTCTGAAGCAGGAAGGGAAGGCAACCTCCATTGAGCCAGAGAACGAGAGGCTTGGAAGCAGGGTTTGTTTCTGCTTCAACAAAGTAATAAAACATGGATCTCTGTTTCCTGTCATCGATGGTTATGTAGCCAGCAAATTGCTGAAACGTTACGGGTGGCTGGCCAGGCAAGCTTTGGATCTTATCCTCTCGTGGATAAGACTCCGCCATGGGGCATGTGAACACAAACATGGCACACACTATGGCCAACCAGTTCCATGGCTGAGGCAACATAGTTGACGGAGAGCAATAATAATTGATGGTGGGGGTGGTCATGGTTATGGAAACGGAATGAGGAAATTATATAGCAGGTTAGATGGCTTTGAGATAATGGTGGGACCCCGCATGTAAGACTATCATCTTCATAACTGTTCCCAAAGGGATCGCCTGTGGTAGAACCCAACCTGTTCACTTCTGTAATGCCCAATACGAGGGCTTTTGAAGCATGAAGTTGTTTTCATGTTTTCAAAAAAGACGAAGCCATGTTTATCTGTGCCAAATAGCATGATGACGCAGCAAGCGAATATAATCTCCTCAAAAAGAATATAATCTAGCTCTTTTCTATAAAACAAAGAAAAAAAAATTCTTCCAAATATAATTTTCTCAACTATAGGTATTTCCTTCATGCCTATAATTGATATTTGAGAGCGGCGTGAGACTGTCGAAGATTAACCAAGAGCTCGGCCACCGCCATATTATTAGCCATGGTCGCCCCGATCCTACTCACTCATTGTTTAGTGTGGTTCTTTATATGCATAAAAAAATTTTTAAAAAAAATTATCAGATTATTCATGAAAATTCTTTCCAGTTTTTTTTAAATCAAAAACTATAAATACGTGATTAAGAATTAGGTGAAATTATTAAAAAATGATTAATTAAGAATTTAAAAGAAGAACTGAATAAAGAAAGTAGGAAATAGAAAGTTTGAGAGGATACATGAAGGAAAGATGTGGGGCCAACTTCGAGGCACCATCCTGTAAATGAATAAATGGAGACATAATAATTTCATAGCGATGCTGATTAAACATCCGTTTACTGTTTACATCGCAACAACCTTTTTTCTTTTTCCCCAAAATAGATAGTGTACATCGCTACAACCATTGAGATGGACGCAATACTGATGCAACAGTCACGCATCGAACTTGGATCAACTTAAAATTATTACGGCGCGGAACCTCTCCGCTTAGGCATTCTCTCCATTTCCCTCCATTAACGCAAAACTTGGACGCAACATTGATTTTGGCCTTCTCTGTTTCTGTATTAATGGGTGACGGAGATAAAGCTAAGAGAAGGAAGGTAACTGTTCCTGTAAGATGTGTTTGAATTTGGAACATTTAAATTAACGCCGAGGAGAATATGTTTTCCAAGAGGGACGCGCGATTGACTTATCTTCTTGCGTTATCGTTATTTTGTCCATTTCTTCGGGTAGTTTGAGAAAACTATTTCATCAATATTTTCCCCTTCTTTTTGTCTGACCCTTTTAGGGTTTGCTTGGGAGATTCAGAGTTCTTTATTTTCGCAATTGAATTGATGCTTGCTTTTGATTTACTTAGGAGTGGGTTTGCGCACTGATTACACCACAATGGACTTGGATTCTCTCTACTACCTTCCCATCCTCTTCCCCTCCACTACCCTTCTTTTCTCTTCACAACTATTGGATCAAAATTTTAATGGTCCAGATTTAACATCTTATAAAAATAATATTATTAAAAAAAATTTAAACTGTTAAAATCTGGTTTGAACAGTTTACAATTGTATTAAAAAAAATTGCTCTATAATAACAGTCTGTAGTTATGAACTGTTCAAATTAGATTTTAACAGTTTAAATTTATTTATCTATTTTTATCATAATATTTATTTTTATAAAATGTTATAAAATATTAAATCTGAACCATTAGAGTTTTGATCTAATGGTTGTGAAGAGAAAAAGAAGGTAGTGGAGGGAAAGAGGATGGAAAGGATAGTGGAGAGAATCCAATTCACACCACAATAGCAATCATATGCCCTGAGAATAGACGCAAGCATTATGCATACAAGTTGGCCCTTTTATATACTTTCAAATTTGGATTGGGATGCGGTAGCTATCGTGTAAGTTCCATTAAATCTAATTTTCATTCATTTTCCAAGAAACTTCTGCGGGGGGGAAAAAAAAAGAGTGAGAGAGAGAGACAGGTATTGGGATGCGGGTCTTGTTTGGGTTCAATGATAATTGCAGATTAAATTATATGGGGAAAAAACAAAAATTAAGAAATGGAACGTGTTTTCTACTATGCAAGAAGGAGGGATCTCCTTTTGAAAGATATCGTCAGATAGATAGTGCGATCAACACATGTCAACTACCTAACATTAATATGTTTGGATTGATGTTGGGCAAAACTGACTTCTAACTCAACTGATTTTATAACTGAAACTAGAGTAAAAGTCAGTTAGGGTATGTTTGGATAGGTGTTTTTAAAAAATCAGTTGAAAAAAATTAAAAGTTGTTTGGATGATTAATAGAAAAGTTAGTTTAGTTGTAAAATGAATAAAAAAGGTATGGACTTTATTGAATAGTAATGTTTGAAATTTTATGTTTTTAATGTGATAATAGTTTAAAAAATACGTAAAATTATTATGATAAAATATAAATAGTTTGTTTGTGAAATTATAAAATAAAAATATTTGTTATAAAGGAAAATTTAAAAACACATTGTAGATAATTAATTAAATATACATAATGGAAAAATATGAATACAAATTAAAATTCATTTGGTCTAAATAAAAGCTCATTATGCTAACGAAGGAAATGAGGCAGAGGGAAAAATGTGAGGGTAAACCTGGGATGCTCATTTTTAATAATTACCGTTTGAAACTGCGATTTGAAAAGTCATATTTTTCTCCATTGAATCCAACTGAGGTTGAAAGCCAGAAGTTGGTTGGAAAAGTTAGCCCAGCCAAACAACAACTTTTGTTTAACTCGGTTTGCAACCTCAGTTTCACAGATTCCAAGGTACTTTTGCAGTTTCTAATTGCAATCAAACATGCTCTAAGTTGTGAAGTTTGTTCGCATCGTCATTTTAATGGGAAAGTGATCGTCAAATGCAAGAATGAATAATAAAAAATCACATAATAATTAAATTGTGGAGATTACGCAGCAAGTGCATTTGAGGCGAGTGTCACGGGCGACAAGAAAAGGACGGCGAATGTAAAGACAAATTAGAGGCCAGAGAGGCGGAGATTGTAAGGTTAATGAGCCAAGAAGAGTGCAGATTGTATAAATTGATTTTTGTCATGGCAGCGCAGGGACCAAATTAAAGGTCCATGGAGGAAGTCTATGTGAAGGCTCATGGGACCTTGCCAAGCCGGTGAAGCCACAAGTGTGGACCCTTTAAAATAATTGATAATTCATTGGGACGATGGCGGTGCAGTATTATAATCAGAATAAATGAACAGAATAATTAACGGGCTTGATTACACTGGGGAGAGTGGTTTGGCTGACGCCAAGAAATGTCTGAAACAGCACAAAGGAGCTCTCTCAGGTTTTACGTGTTCAAATACCTCCCTGTGTCTTTCAAATCACACTCATCCATCTTCACTGAATAGATTTTAAAATCTGGTGCATGTTTCGCCTTAATTAGC